TGTTACGGCCCTAGCAGGGCCTCTCTCTCTCCTGAGGGTGCCTGTGTGGGCGTGTCCCACTACCTCCTGCCTGAGGTGCCACCTTTCCCTCCTGTACAGCTGACTCGCATCAGCAATTAAAGGTATTTAAGCCCAGAGCAGGGTGAGCTCTGGACCAGAGTGCCATTTGTGTGGGTACAGCTGGTGAGCTGAGTGTTTGCGGTGTTTCCAGCTAGTGAGCTGCGCTTTCCTTTTGACTTTTTGGCATTACTGACCAACGCCTGAGTTTTGTTTGTGTTACTTTTATGGTGATAACGGCTTGTCCGTCTCTTTTAGTTGAATTACTTCAATAAAACTGTTTTATTTTACTGTTTCGCCTCCCTGACTCCTTTTTCTGACCCGGTCACTTTTGTTACTCCCCCCTCACCGCCTAGACCCCCCCCCAGGGGAACGTAACACGGACACTGTGGGATGGATAAAAACAGGGTCAGCGTTTCCTTGGCTGCGGTAACGACAGATGGCTGCATCAGCATCTTCTTCCACTTACCCTGGTGTCTTCACTGATGTAGCCACAGGTCACCTTCTCTCCTTTCACCCAGAGTTCACTGGCCTGAGCTCTGAAGATTCAAACACATGTTTAGTATGACAAACTCTCACTTCATTCGCCATCGTGAACAAAGCGTAAATGTCACTAGCACTAAAATGCCTCATCCTTCTGGTTAACCCTTGCAATCAGCGCTGTGAAGTCATTTCATTTATGTACCTGATTCCTGCGAACTCAACCTTCTGGGTCACGTAAGCACATGTGCTCACCTGGAAGGAACCAGAGCACAGCAAACGTAAATACCACCGTGCACGCAGCATTCAAATGGACCTGACGCTCACATGGCCCACCAGGCTTTTCTTCAGTCTCCACATGTCTCCTCTGCCGATGTACTGGTCCTTGAACGTCAGCTCCACCAGGTCCAGCGTTACATCCTGACAGACAAAAAACAGACACTGTGTCCCAGCAACGGTCGAGGGGCCGAGGAGCGCTCGGAGCCAACGTACCTTAGGGTCGACGATGTTAACTATGACATCCTGGTATGCACGCAGCTTGAAGGCCTGTGCTACAGTCTGGTCCACACTGATCGTCTCTGTGTAACGACAACATGTCCATCAGCTGTAAGGCAGAGCTATCATTTTACCCATGTACATAAACACACAGCGCCAGCAAGCATGAAAGCTGACATCAGGGCCAAAGGAGCCCTGCACATACATTTTCATTTACAGTGCTGTTTTTAAACACAGCACAAAAACCCTGGTAACAGCTCAGGCTTCAGACTGATCCAAGCATTCAGATGCTGCCCCTACACGTGTGAGCAGGGATCAGACCTTGATCAGCCCAGAAACAGAGAAAAGCTGTCTTAAAGGGAAACGACTACATTAAAAAGTCAATCGTATCGTCTATTGCAGGAATAAGCCATCAGGTTTTATCTTATAAAGAATAAATGACACGTTTAAACACCACAAACACGCTGCTACCTCAGATTACCTTTCTGTAGGTCCTCTTTGAGGCTCTTCACCTGCAGCAGGAGGGGGCTGGGAATATTTCACAAGGGACAAGGCCACATTATAGTTTCAATGGCAGACGCTTACCCCTATAAAAATACAGCAATCTCACATAATCTCACCTGTATTCATCGGTGGGATGTGCAATCTCAATTATGTTCCCCAAAGTGACTTGAGGGAAAACTTTTGGGTTGACAACCAACTCATCGTCTGTTCGGAGGATAAGTTCATTTGCAAAAGCAATCAAATCTTTGCAGAGAAACAAACACGGAGAAGAGTCTCTACTCACCGCTTCCACCGAAACCTTTCTTGTGCAGCACAAGCTTATAGGACTTACTGGTCTTCATGGTTTAACCGGCTGGGAAACAAAACCACGAGACCATCAGTGACATCTCAAACCAATGAGAGAGCTGAATTCTGGCTCATATGAAGGTATCGACCCTGCCATGGCATTTTCCCGTGAGGACCAACAAGCAGCTGCCAAGCAGGAATTACGCAATAACGGTCTTAACTACTACTTAACACTAAAGGAAGACATAAACACGTGGGCACGAAGAAAACAGTACCTGAACTCTATTTCTCCAACAATTCACTGCCA